AAATATGCTAGTATGTCCTCACTTCAGTTTTAGAAAACGGGAATAAGATCTCAAACACCGGGAATATATATATATATTTTTTAAGTTGTTGTACTGTTATAATAAGAGACGAACGATAAAAAAGGGGAAAACGGTAGAAACACGAGGAGAGATGAAAGGGAGGATTGAAATATATCGGAAAACGAAACAAAGAAAGGAAGGGGGACAGAGTTAACGGGGATGAGAAGGAAGGGAGGAAGAAAGAGACAAAGAGCGGGAAGGGATTGAAACAGATGAAAAGGGGAAGAGGAAGAAAACGTCAGATGTGAAAGAAAAGGAAATTGGAATGAAGGAGATGTAGGATAGAGAGGGAAAAGGAGAGTGTGAGGGAAAAGAAGAAGAGAGAGAGAGAGAGAGGGAGAGGAAGAGAGGGATGGAGGGTGAGATAGGAAGACGGAAATGGGGAGGGAGAGAGCGAGGGAGATAGAGGGAAAGAGATAAAGAGAGAGAGAGAAACTAAAGAGAGAGAATGGGAATAGAAATAGAAACCACTTGGTTCAAAGAAGACCTACAAACGTGAGAAAGAGAGACAGGGAAAGACAGGCATATCCTTTTTTGATCGGCGTCGGCCTGGGAAAGTGCTCTTCTTCCCCTTCCCCTCTCTCTCTCTCTCTCTCTCTCTCTCTCTCTCTCTCTCTCTCTCTCTCTCTCTCTCTCTCTCTCTCTCTCTCTCTCTCTCTCTCTCTCTTTCTCTTTCTCTTTCTCTTTCTCTTTCTCTTTTTCTCTTTCTATCTATCTATCTATATATATATATATCTCCTTCTCGCTCGCTCTCTCTCTTCCTCTCTCTTCTCATTTTCTCACTTTCTCTCTTTCTCTCTTTCTCTCTTTCCCATTCTCTATATTTCTCGCTCCCTCCTTCCTTCCTTCCTCCCTCCCTCCCTCCCTCCCTTTCTCTCTTTAAAGCCGACCGAGTTTATTACCTTGGCTCTCCTTCCTTGAACAGCGACACAGGTCTCTCGATATCGCCCCCTCCCCCCTTTCCCTCCTGATTGCGTAATACCCACCGAGGTTGTGCGCTGCCCCCTTTCCCTTGTTATCTCTGCCCGTTACGTGGCGAGGCTGTGCAGTGATCGCCCGGGTATTATAGTTATTATATGCGGAGCGAACATAGGCGTCGTGGTCTAGTTGGTGTGTGGTTCAGAGGCGGGAGGGTTGGCGTTTTGACGTGTCTGCTGTTCGAACTTCCGTGATAGGGAGGAGGGAGAAGGGGGGAGGGAGGAGGAGGGAGATGGAGAGGGAGAGGGATGGAGATGGGGAGGAAGGGGGAAGGGGGGAGGGAGGAGGAGGGAGAATGAGGAAGAGGAAATGGGGGGGAAGGAGGGAGGGAGGGAGGAAGATGGAGAAGGAGTGAGGGAGAAGTAGTGGAGAAGGAGGGATAGAGAAAGAGTAGGAGAGGGAATAGGACAGAGGGAGGGAGGGGGGAGCGGGAGGGACAGGGAGAATGATGGGGAGAGGGAGAGTGATAGGAATAGTAGAACAGAGGGATACAGAGACAGACAGAGAAACAAGAATAGAAAGAGACAAAAAGGGAGATGAAGAAAAATACAAAGTGGGAGACGGCTTGACATACGACAGAAAACATGTACCTTTTTTATGTTATTTCCCGTTACAAGTCCCCCGCGGAGAAACAGGGCGAGGTTCTACAAGGTCTCTCTCTCTCTCTCTCTCTCTCTCTCTCTCTCTCTCTCTCTCTCTCTCTCTCTCTCTCTCTCTCTCTCTCTCTCTCTCTCTCTCCTTCTCCTTCTCCTTCTCCTTCTCCTTCTCCTTCTCCCTCTCTCCTTCTCCCCCTTCCCTCTCCTTCTCCCCCTTCCCTCTCCTCCTCCCCCCCTCTCCTCCTCCCCCCTCCTCCTCCTCCTCCTCCTCCCCCCCCCCCCCCCCCCCTCGACGTAAAGTGTCCTTCTTCGGGAGGGTCGTACAGGCATGTGCAAACCCCGCTCTAATGGACCTATTGTGTGCACGGACGCTGATAAAGACGCCGTTGACAGAGGGTTTCGTGGTCTGGGGAAGGCCGCCGATCGTGGGAGGGAAAGGGAGGGGAGGGGAGGGAAATGGAGGGATGGGGAGGGAAGGGAAATTGAGGGAAGGGAAGGGGAGGGAGGGAAGGGAAGGGGAGAGGAGGGAAAGGGAGGGGAGGGAAGGAGAGGGGGGAAATGGAGGGGAGAGGAGGAAGGGAGGTGAGGAAGGAATGGAGGGGAGGGAGGAGATGGGGAAAGAGGAAAAAAGTAGGGTGGGAATGAAGAGAATTGGGAGGGAAGGGAAAGGACAGTTCGCCTTGCGTTGTGTCAATTTTCTTTTTCTTTCTTTCTTTCATTCATTAATTCTTTCGTCATTTCCTTTTGCCTTTTTTTACGATTTTTCGCCATATAAAATGGAGCATAAGGGTGGACTAAAATCAAGCAAAAAGAACAAGCAGCCAAACAAACACGCAAGCAAAATAAGAAAAGAAAGTGAAGCAAAGAGGACGAGGAGGAGGAAGAGGAAAGGGGTAGCGAGGGTAGGGAAGGGGGGGGGGGTGGAGAGAGGGAAGGGGTGAAACAGTTCCAGCTGGAATATCCTCTCGGTTTTC